GACCGCTATGTTGCAATATGTAACCCTCTCAGGTATCCAACGTTGCTTAAAAATACCAATGTATTCATTATGTGTGCTTTTTCATGGGGTGTAACAGTATTTATTGTTGCTATTTCAGCCATTCGGGCAGTCACTTTGCCTTTTTGTGGGCCCGATGTTATTGTACATTGTTACTGTGATCACATAGCAATAACCAGGCTAGCTTGTGCAGACATCAGGTCCTATAGCTTAGTGGCTTTAATTAATGCCATAATTGTGTTGCTTGTGCCCCTTTTCTTTATAATATTTTCTTATGTTCAGATCGTTTTCTCTGTTATGAGGATTGTGAGCTCTGAAGGGAGATACAAAGCATTTTCCACCTGCTCTTCTCAGCTGTGTATCATAGCTCTCTACTACCTTCCCAGGTGTTTTGTTTACCTAGCAAACAGTGTGAATATTGCGATAAACACTGATTTCCGCATTGTCCTGATTCTGACTTACAGCCTGGTGCCTCCCATGATAAACCCTCTGATTTACTGCTTCAAAACAAAAGAAATCAAGCAGAACTTGGTCAAAAGGTTAAGATTTAAAACTGCTGAAAATCGGGTGAGATGTATCTTTTCTGTCAACAAATAATTTGAAAAAATGCATTATATACTGCTAAGAACCAAAATAAAACTGAAGAACAACTGTTTTAAACAAAAGGAGGCCATTTTGGCCCCATCTAACTTATGTGGTTGCTATGTAGCCAGTTGATCTGAGGATCTTAACCACATTGTTCTAGAAAGAAGCCAAGATATCAATCAGGTTCAAACATGTCGCCTAGTACCATACCTTATTCTAGACTCCCACAGCCCTGTGTGCAAAAAGTCTGTTTTAATTGCACGTTTCCATAGTTTCCATTTGTGTTCTTGTTTGTGTTACACTGTTACACAGCTCTAAAGCAGGTCAGTGGGTTGAATTTGTCAAAGCCCTTGAGAGTCATAGCTTGAGGCGCCCTTGATTTTTCTCTTTTGATGACTGAAAACTAAATTTGTTTTGTAATGTAGTATTACAAGTTCATTGTGCATTTTAGTCTAATATTGACTAATCAAACTTCTACAGGTTTAACTACATATATTCACAGTTTTATAGTTTTAATTCCTAATATTCAGTTTGCATTTTGTCTAGAAGATATAATTTATGTCTCAACATGAACACACCTGAGTGTTCACTAATGTATTGTATTAATCTAATTTTATACTAAAGAATCAGATTATTCTTTAATAAAATTGGCAGAGACTGATTTCTAATAATGTGGAAAGCAGCACAGATAACACAACAAATTCTGTGCATGTGTTCATTAATATAATTTATTAAGTAGAACCATTGTGGGTGTATAAGTAACACACTTTTATATAGTACATAATGAATATCATTTCAGTTGAGATTACTTTTTAAAGTTTGTTTTTACTAATAAAGATTGACTTTGTTACAGACTTTGGTGGGCGGCACAGTGCCACCCTGGTTCACATTGCTGTCTTGCAGTGTGGGAGCCCTGGGATCAATTCTGGACCTGGGGTGCTATCTGTGTGGAGCTTGTATGTTCTTCCCCTGTTTGTATGGGTTTCCTATGGGTGCTCCAGTTTTCTCCCACATACTAAAGACAAACTGGTAGGTTAATTGGCCCTGGTGTGACTGTGTGTGTCTGTGTGTGCCCTGTGTTAGACTGGTGACCACTCCAGGGTGTATCGAGCCTTGTGCCTGTCCCTTGCCAGGATAGGCTCTGGCTCCTCTGTGACCCTAAACTGGATGGAGCTGTTAGAAAATGGGTAGATGGATGAACAGACTTTTCTCAGTATTTTGGTTGAACAAATAAGGTATACCATATACACTGTATATATAAATGTTATATATGCATCATATGTTAGTTATGTATGTTAAAAATGGATGGATAATGAAATATATTTATAGAATTAACACTAGGAGTTTTAAAAAAGTATTGAAGAGCTTTTACAAAAAGCATTATGGTTCCAGCCATATCCTGTATAACCTTTAAAGGTCTGTTGACAGTAGAAGGTTTTGAGTGATTAGAAACCTGTTTCTTTAGTACAAAAGACAACTTGCAGTAACACTGTCGATTATTACAGCGGAATGTCATATCCCATCATACAGTTCGTATTATACATGAAGCTATGTAAGATACAGTATATAAGATATCCGGTGTCTTCATTTACTTTGGAGCCAAGTCCATCATGCTTAAAACTACCAATCCTGATCTGCTGGGTTTATTCAGGACTCATTAAATGTCTCCTAATACTTTGCAAGAAGAAAAAAAAAGAAAGTGTAATTATAAACCCTACGTAGATGGGGAAAACTGCGATTTAAAGTCAGAAACATTATCACATTTCAAACAGGGATATGCGAGTACCCTCATTTTGGTACTCACTGTGAAAACACTCAGTAGAAACCACTTGATCGATAGAATTAAAAACAGAAAACAGTCCTTTTACAATCAATTTTGTTTTAAAAAATATGTAGTAATGCCCAAAAATACTTCATTGTGACCACTAGAGGGAGACTTATTTTCTATGTTTAATATAATAATAAATGTTTCACAAACTGCGACATGCCATTCAGAGGTTAATTTCTAGATTTGTGTCTGTTGTGACAATACAAAAATATTATCTGAAAAAAAAAATATCTGATTAAAATAAAAGAGAAATTTGTTCCAACAGGTTTAATGAGTGATGGCCATTTTAATGAGTGATGACATTACTTTAATAACACTGAGTTTCTTGGAAAGGACTCGTTTAATTATACACGTAACTATAATTAATACAAAATTATAATATATTAATTTGAATATTTTATATAATACATTGAATATTTTTACTACCTTCATAAAGTCTCAATTTGTCTTTTTAATGCTGTACTTTAACTTTAACAAGAAAGTAAATGCAACCATTAACGTCGTAAATTGTATTAATCTTTACATTTTTTTTATTGAAGCAGGTGCACTAACAAAACAGTGATGCCCTTTAAGTTGAAGAAGTCTCTCTAAAGAACTGAATTCCTTACATTTTAAATTTTCTAAATGTTTACATACAGTGTATATGACACAAAACAACGGTTAGTAATTAACTTAAGGCATGTGTAAATAGAAACATGAGTTCCATGTTGAATTTGATAGACTGTAGTAATGATAACCGACCATGTGGTGGAACCATATACACACTATTTCACTAGGGTTTTCTGTTAAAAATCTAATTGCAGTTTGAATCACTCGTTTCCTTATGTTTTTATTACAAATAAAACAGGGACATGAAGAGATCTATCAAAAAAAACATTTTAAATTTCAAGAGATTTCAAGAGATCTTTTTTCTAGATAAGAATATAGGCTTTTGTTGGCATGACAAATCAGGACAGTTTTTTGCTGCCTTGAGATATTTTCCAATCTAGTTTACTTTAATAATCTTTAAAGGAACAAGTAATAGGTTTATTCCATGCTGAAAAGAGAAGAAAACACAAAGTTTCGAACGTGGAGCCTTCTCCACTGCCAAAACGTGTTCTTTCTTCTCTTTTCAGCATGGAATAAACTTACTTGTTCCTTTGCAGCCTACACATGCTGACGTAGCTACCCATCTGAACCACTTTAATAATCTTTACTGCGTATCAAAGAAAATCAGTTATAACTGCAATTAATTCACAAAGTTCCTCACAAGGAAGCAAAATCTTATTTAGCAGAAGCATAAAGATTTTATTGAACCACCATGAATTAGGTAAATTCATCATGTTGATGTTGTCATCAACAGGGTTGATAAATTGGAGTATGATAAACTATCAATAGGTTTGGTAAACTAAGAAAGTCATAGCAATACAAGATTCACAATTTATGTTTTACACTAGGTTGCAGATGCTGGACAAGCATCTGTTTGTTAACAGGTCTCAGAGCACTAGATATCATCCTATCTCATCCCACAGATGTTCAGATGGGGCAAGAAGGGTATCCAAAGCATAGCTGTCATATTCTAAACTGCCAGGATAAGATCAATGTAGCACCATAAAGTCAAATAGCAAGTAATCACTACATGCGCAGATTTGTGGTGACTAGACAGTCCTGCCCAGATCATCACTTCTTGGACATCCCCATCGATTCCCCATCGATTGGTCTGTTGTTCACAACATTTAGTGTATAATTCTGTCACATCCACTAGCATCCATCACATTTGTCTTAAAACATGTCACAAAACCTTCTCCAGGCTGGGCATTCAACAGGTTAAATTACCTGATCACCTGTGTCCCATCAACTCCCCCAGTAAGGAAGTATACATTTATACTGTGGTAAGAAAGCAGAGCTTGCAGATGAAACCCATGAGAACATGGGGATAACATTCAAACTCCACACAGACAGCATCCTAGGAATGGAACCCAGGGCCCCAGCATTGAGAGGCAGCAATGCCAACCACTGTGCTGCGATGCTGCCCACATGCTTGATCAATAGATCAAAAATAAAATATCAAATTAATATCGAAAGGCATATGCTTTAAATTTTAAAGCCTACACACATACAGTAAATACAGTGATAGATTTCTGCTGATGCTTAATGTTATTGATGTGATACTTATCGGAAGGGTAAACTGACATGATGGTAAAAGATAAACGAGGAACTAATTCTTTGCTCCCTGAAACCCAAAACAAGAAAGCTGGTCTCACTTGAACTAATCAATATAATGTATGTTATTTACTAGTATTCCAGCTTTAATGAAATAAAACATGCATTATCATTTTCATTGGTGTTCTTCTTATGTCATAAAATCATTTTTTTAGACTTTTTCAAAAAAAACTTTTTTGTTTTTAGGCACAGATTTACAGGCATGTTGTACAGATGATAAGATGATATATAAACGTCGAGATGCATTTGATCACAGCTAGAAAAGGAAACAACATTTTTAGCTTTACAGATGTGCAGTTTGGATTTGTCGGTTTTTGTCCTTAGCTGACATTAAAATCCAGCAGTTTTCAAATGTAAACGAACAATGGTGAGCACACCCTCAGAAACCACCTCAGATAATCTGCTACTTTTTCTCTCATTTCTATCAAAGCACAGCATGCCATTACTTCAAAATCAGAGGCAATGAAAGTACTGGGACATCATACAGATAACCTTTTCTCTCCTGTAGTAGCTCAACTACTCATTAAATTACTCATTGCATGTATCCTGAAAAGGCAGAAGTAAGAATTTGTAATACTGAGTTTCAACGGTCAGGGGAGTTGTGCAATTTCATTACCAATCACACTTATTTAGTTTATCAATGCAGATTAGCAGTGAAAAATGTTGCATCCAGATCAAGGCCACTCTCCTGCCATGAATTCATGAGCTCATGCCTGTGCCACACAAGGTTCACCGTGAAGCATGGTTATAAAATGATAAACGTGTCATCTGTGAAGACAACCTGTCAAAGTCCAGCCAGCATGTACTGTATGAGCAATGTGTCTTGGAAATCCATCCCAGTATTAAAAGGCAGAGTCTGGCCTTTGTAGTTATCACCAACACTTTTTTAAAGTTCCTGCCTTAGGAGCCCTGCTTTTGACCTGTAATGACAACATAATCATAATGGCTTACAAAAGCCTTGCAAAATATTTTTAAAATGGAATCAGAGGTCAGATGCTGATTGCATATATCAGGTAAACATATATCCAGTGCTTGGTCTTTTTTGAAGCAGTACACAGCAATTTATATGTAGATCATGTGGGGGGTGTAATGGACTAGCGCATAGGACTCTTGCAGCAGATGAAGCAAATTCAGCATACTTTTTTTTAAGAAGTAGGAAAAGGCTTTGAATGGCAAAATCAGAACTGGAGGAGAAAATTCACCCAGTGGATCTATTGCAGATTTAGACCAGCTACAGATGTTTGTGTTGATACTTTGCTTAAGTGGTAAAAATAGATGGATTTAGGAGATATTCAATATATGATCAAATCTTATTAATATTGAGGTTCTACAGAATGTTCATAAAACACTGACAGATATTCAGCAGTGATGTGGTTAGGCTGAGGTTAAGGTTTGAATGGACACTACTGATACTAATGGTAAGAGCTTCAGCTTAGAGTACAGTGATCATTAATATGGCACCAATTAAATTATTTATACACCATAATCCACCTGTCCATTTTCAGACCGCTTCATCCAATTACGAGCTTTGGGGGAGCCAGAGTCTCAGCAAGTAATGGACTCAAGGCAGTTACACCATAATCTAACATACGAAATGTAATAGTATATGGAGCAATGGTTCAGGCATTGAAAAAGGAAACGAAAAAGAAACATTTTTTAAATAAATTAACTCGCACAAGACTATGATCCTGTCATTCAAGATTGAGAAGGTCAGAAAAGGCCTCTGGCTCTTGGCTATACATGCAGAGACTGCCATTCTACTCCATGAAGATAAAGCAGAGGTTGCTTTCAGAAATTTAACACCCTGGATAAAAATTCTGCACGGGGAAATTTCAGCTTCCTGTCACACAATGTTTTCAATTTTATGTATTTGTCCTCAAGGCAGAGAGTATTTATATACGTTTCCTTGTGTTCCTTTTGTCCTTAATTTGTACAAGGCAGACATGTATTCCCTGAATGAATTAGATGGCAGGGATTTCCCAGAACTCCTTTTGTCTTTGGTTCGCAAATCAAACTAAAACTGAGGGGAATGGAATTTACATTACCCACTTTGACATGTGCTCAACAATATTGACTTCTGCTTCCTTTGACCCAAGGTGTTATTTATAGACTTCCTACGTTTCGGAAATGAAATACAAAGGAGTTCCGTAGATCAAAAGCTTATGTTTAAAAAGCATTTTTGTCCTTAGGAACTTTCAGTGCAAAAAAGAAGATTCCTTTTCATAGTGCTACTGTCTTTTCCAGTTTGTACTAAAATAAGAAAAAGTTTTAAAAAGACATGGAAATACAGTATTTCCTCACTATTCTCAGGCTGTTTTAATCATATCAGATTTTAAGAAGGATAATCCGGACCACTAGCCTCTTTCTCCTTCCAGTATGTTATTTTTTAAGGAGTATCCCCAAGATCCCAAGGAACAAGCAATAGGTTTATTTGTTCCGTATAGAAACACATACTGTACCTGAATCCTAGAGTATGTTCTTCCTCTCTCTGTTGTATTTTGCTATTGATTGTCTTTCCCTCCTTTTAGATTTTAAAATGATTTTATATCATTTTAGATATTGTTGCTTCTGAACAGATAGGCAAATTGAGCCGTTTTGGTCACTGAAGCTCCCACCAAACATGTCCCCAAAATCACCCCTCTTTCAGAGTCACTGAGGTCTCGCAGTGCTAGCCTGCTAGCCACAATTATAGGCAACCAGGCCTGTCTAGCATTGCTCTATGACCTTAAGCATGCTGAGATGTTGCCTGCTTATTTAAAGGGGAACTGCGGTCCTCATTTCTCAAACCAGTTATTACATCTGGTTTATTAATTTGACGGTATCAGAACATTTTACAAATTCTGAATTAAGCAAAAAATCATTAACAAAAATCAAAAATCATGTTGCAAACTGCTGGCCTTGCCACGTGAAGCCGCCATTCCTGCTCAATAGTCAATGTAATAACTAGTGTAATGTACAAGCAAATACAGGTTGTGCAGCAAAAATGTTCCAATTTTATCTTCATGCAGTTAACAAGTAAGTTGTATTTGTTGGCAAAACCATCTCAAAGTTGAGAGCAATTCAAGCGATTAAAAGAGATGTATTCACAAGCCTGCTTGTTTACAATGTAATAGGGCCGCTTCACATCACCAGACGTTTAGTTGCCCAGCAGAATATGGCACGGCACATACCTGGAAATGTAATCTATTTTGTGATGTAAATTATAAGTTTTACACATTACTGTGTACATTTTACTTTCATGGTGGTTTAAAATACACTCAATGCCAATTTTTTCTAACCCCAAAATATAAAAAAAGCATTGAAGTTCTCCTTTAACTCATGAACCACACCTGTGTGGAAGCCCTTGCTTTCAGTATATTTGGTGTCTCTCACTTACCCTGGTGTTTCCATTTTGTGCCAATTACCTGCACCAATGTTTAAGTAAAGAACATCATCTTGATTTTTGTCTTTATATCAGCTTAATGTTTTTTTAATAGATCTCCTTAAACAATAGCTTGATTCTAGATTTTACCACAAAAATAACTCCATGCAACAGAAATGCACTTCAATATTCTTTATTTAGTTTACAGAAGGTTTCTATTGATAGTTTGAAGAAAAATGATTAGTGCTATTTACAATCAGTTTGAAAACTTTGCTCTATACAGATTTAAATCCTGATCAATATGAACAATATTTTCATAAGACCTTGTACTGAATTATAAAGCATTTCATTAAAGCAATTACCATGGAGAAGGGGGGAAATGATATTAAAGTAAGAGCAGATGAGTAAAAAAATTACAAGGAAACAAATATACATGTATTACGTTAATTTTATGGAAAGATCAGGGTTACCTGTATTAGGCCCAAGACATACTGTCAGCTTTTGACTGCTAATAAGCTATTTATATAGATTATCCTATACTACACACCAATGTATATCAATAAGATCTATAATCATGTTCTATATAAGATTCATATTAAATATATTCTACATATATGTAACCTCAGTTCAGAATATCATTCCCACTGGAAAAATATAAAAAACTTTTTTTTACACGTTTTGATGAAATAGCTCATGCTTCAGTGTTGTGCAAATTGACTTCTTTGTAAGCAAAAAAAAATATTTAAAAAAAAAACGAAAAGGGAAAAAAGTAATCTCACTGCATAATCATTCCAGTTTACCTCCTGATCAACTGCAAGCACTGTATACAGTTACACTACTTGCAAAAACAGACAAAAACTTTTACTGACAGATATATGCGTTCTAAAAAGTAATTCCAAACTACTCCATACAGATGGACACAACACTGGACAATGAAATTAGGTACATGATTGCTGAGGATTTCATTATGTTAATGCACAGACAGATTTAAATATGAGAAAAAAAGAAACAGCTAGATAATTTAGTAGGCTTTTCAAAGGTTTTGAACAATAAATGATTTAATGAAAGCCTCCATTCTTATGTTAAGGCTTAGAATAGTACTCACTGTACTTCAAAACATTTTGCCATAATTTGCTGTTTTAGAATGCATTAAGGATAAGGATATCTTCAAGAACAAGATCAGTTTCTCAGTTCTACAGGCACATCAATACTCATTCTGTTACAAAAACAAAATTGTATGCCTTAAAGAGACCCTAAGTGTTTATTTTTTCAGTGGTTACGGAAACACAGCAAAATTATTCAGGTATATAATGCCCTTGCCCACACAAACAGTTTGAGAACCCCTGTAATGCATCATTAAAAAATCTGGTGAAAGGGCTTCCATTACTAGTGGATATATCCACCCACAAATATTCTCTCCTTTCTCTCCCTCCCTTCCTTCCGCTCGTATTCAAGAACTCGATTTCTCAAAACTGAAATAAAAACGATCAGGTGCAAACTAGCTTTTTCAAGCAAGAGAGAATCATGTTTTCCTGTCATGAATCATCAAGACGTCATCCAATCATCCAGAGTGCACTATGCAGAAACTATGGCATTTCATGTGCAAACAAACACTGCGCGACGAGGACAGCACTTTACTCAGAAGAATGCAACATTTTCTCAGGATTTTTTGGGAGTGAACCAGTTTTAAAGGAAACAAAGATACATGATACATGATGTTGACAAAACCATCCAGTTCTGGTAAAAATCTGTCTCTTCGCTCATTTTGATTTTGTTACATCTGACTGCTCCTATGGGTCCTTGAAGCAAAGTTAAGTGTCTATTTCAGCAGCATGAAAGACGAAGACTATATTACATCACGGTTAGCAGAAACAACTGGATGTATTTACAGGATCACACAGCAGTTGCTTTCTCCAGTCTTTTCCCGGTTCCTTTGACCTGAAGTTTAAGAGAACAGAGTTACAGAGTGTTACAGCTGCTTCTAAGCTGAAGTCATAAATGTTTCAAGCATTCCTAGACTACTGTATATATTTAGCATCTCATTCATATAAACAATCATTCACATCTGGTCACACATCAAAGACAGATGCATGAAGGAATTGTTTGTCCTTGCAAGTTTATAACTACTACAATACAAATCCAAACCTACAGTAGTATTAGTATTACAATTAAAGCATAGACTTACAAAGAAAACAACTAATGTATAGATATCATCAAGTCCACATGAATTTTATTGCTACTGTAATAAAGTTACCTTGGGAATTTGGCTCTGGTAATGTCTCTCTGGCAACTAAATGCATCACTGTGGTTTTGCCAAGAGGGAGTTTTAATGCTTCAAAAAGAGAAAAAAAGACAGGAAGGCTCATTTTACTATTACAGAGCAATAAACAAACAGTATCCCATTCACAATTACTAGATTCTTTGTCAGCTGACACTGCATTTGTAGTTCATCACAAGTACATGTATAGTAGATAGTGGATGAGGGCACATTACACTGCAGTAACACAATCTGTCTATTTTCATGACCTAAAATAGGATATAGCCTATACCAACCAAGACAGTTACAAAGATTGCTTTATTTAAAATAGTGGCAGTCACAAAATGCATGCTGAAATCAAACAAAAGCTGTATTTTAAAACAGATTAAAGCTATGAAAATGTATCTTAAACATTGCCCATTGCTATTGTACTGCAATTCATTATATTAGCAGATGTGTTTAGAAAGCTCAACAATTTTTATGTTCTTTTGGGAAGACCTCTTAAAACACAAGTATTAAGCACAGTTTTCTTTGAGAAAAGAATCAATTGAACAAGCAAAAGAAACACAAATACTGAGTGAATATTTAGTAATAATTAGTAGGGAATACATTCACATAGTGTATGAATTACATTTAGCAACAAGCTAAGATGTGCGTTAGATTAAAAATTATAAAAAAAGATACCACAGTACTAGCCATACCTCTGATCTAAGTTGTAAGCAGCAAGATGTCATTACAATCCTTGTTCTGAGTCAGGAAGACAACTGGTAGGATATGCATATCTATGAGTCAGAAATCACTTGGCATGGTATGTAGTTTTGAAAATGCCAACAGGAGATCTTCCAGTATTTGAAAATAAGAAATGATTTATTGTTGGAAAACTATTTAATGTGTTCTGACCCAAAAGACTGTGAACTTTGTTTTAAATTATTATATATATATATTATTATGCTGTTATTCTCATTTGTAGTTTTAAAGAATCTTGGCTACTGTGACCAACTATGAAAGAAGGCCATATTTATATTATTAATGGTCGTGGCCTAGGGTTACTCGGTAAACCGCTTTTGTTGTGGAACAGAAATTATATTTTATTTACTCCAGTGATAATGGACACTGAGGAGGCACGTTTTCCACACAATGATCTAAAGACCTTAGGACCTCAAGCCAGGCAATGTAATGACTGCAAAACTTGTGAGTCTTTAATGCTTCAAAATCTTTAGAATCTTACACAGGAATATGTTTCTTCAATTCCATGAGATTCACAAGCTCCTGACAAACAGATCAGCACCTACACAGGCTCCCTTTTATAGCTATGATGTATACGGGATCGCTTTGCAATAGGGAACCACAATTTTGTGGGGTAAATCAAATCATGTCTTTTACAGTTTTTACAGTTCAGTGAGGCATAACCAGCTGCAGTCTGTAGCTGTGTTGTGTTTGCAATGTGTACTTACTTTAATTTTGTAATTTTGTAATTTTGTGCTTTTTTAACAGCATATACTGTAATACATCTAGCATTTACAACTATTTAATGACTGTTTTAGAATTGTTAAAAAAATATTTTTCCTCACAAAGATATTGAACACACTAGCATTGAAAATGAATTGAAATGGCTCGTTTTCTGATCTAAAATGTTTGGAAACCGTGTGTTGGTTCTAGACAACCCTTTTTTGGTACTGGCCATTCAAAGAGACTAGATTAAAGCAAAGATTTTGTTAGTAGTGAAGCAGCCTGTGAAGGGATTAAAATCTCACCGTCACTTGGCTCAAAGCTGTAGACAGAGCTTAAAAACTTAATCTCTTGAACACAACCTGACACCATAAATGTCACACAAATGCAGACAAAGTCCATGTACAGCTTTTTGATCACACATTTATTTTTTCTTGTTAGATGGCTGGTGTCCTCAAGGCTGCATTATCTTCGAGGAGCAAACCTCATAATGATCATACTTTTATCTCCTGATAACAACCCCTACTCAAGCTACATTTGGTCTGATTTAAGTCAATTGAGTTTAAAAGATACTGTTCACATGCATGATTATTTTACTTTATCTCATTTTACTAAAGTAGTAAAACAATGCTGGTGCAGACTAACATGGTTTGGGTTTCACAATTACTTGCATCCATAACACAGGAGACAAAATGAGCTTGACATGTTCTTTACGGTGGTCTCAATATTGCAGATTCTAACATCTTCTAAATTGTGTTCTCTAGAATTGAACTGCTACTTAATTCCTGCAAGTGAATTAAAAGAACAATTTAAGAAATTAATGAAAGTCTACCATTGTTATGTTTTTTTTAATACCAAAGTGATAGATTGATTTTAAAATCATGTACTTAATGAAAAACTTTTAGGATGTGAAACTGGATGTGAAACTGATATTTATGCATAGCCATAACAATTATCTTTTAACTTCTCTTAAATCAGTTCCATGGAAAACTGGTTTCTTACAACATGTCAGAACCCTTGCTGTATTTACGAACTAGTACAAACTTCAAACAGTGAGATCTAGGATCAGATTAAGATTTCCAGTTTTAAGAAGATTCCCTACCATGGGTAAGATATCTCTTTTCCCTAATAACAGCGCCACTTCAGCATATTTTTTAAACACAATGAAGACAAAACCTAAGAGACATTTCACAGTCGAGACACCATCTTGGAGGAAGTTTCCAGTAGATGTCAGTTGGTGTTACATTTCACTTCTTTAAGAAGTGTTTGATCCAATTTGATTCAAGTAGATCAGATCCATGGTTCAACAAAAGGGCGGCAGGAAACCTTTAATGTTGGTCTCCATGGAACCAGGCCTACATACCTCCTAGTGTCACATTGCCATGCAGAAACCTTCCCTGGTAGATGAGCCGTAGAATATTTGGACTGCTAACCTGCTCCTCTTCCCAGTCTGCAGAAAACATTAAAACTGTATGTAAGCATTGCAATACACAAGATTTATACTGCATGCACTGTACCTCTTCTATAGCATCTTCAGTCTTTTTAATCTTTAAAAATGCCTTCATTAAATTGATTGACACATAACATTTCCATTTAACAGGCAGACAATATCCACACTTTTTGTTGTCAATTGAAAATTGAGGTTTAAAGAATTGGTACCAATTTCTTTTTCTTTCATTTAAATGAAGTTCTTCTTAATCATTTTATTTTGGACTGAGTGAAGCATCATAACATTCTGCTCTTAATCTGGCTCCATTTTTTACTTTAATTTTGAAAGTGTTCCTCTAATTTATGAAGCCCCTTGGGCAGTTAGCTAGTAGATCAACTCCCGTTTACACTGCCTCATATGGCTGCCATTTATCCAAGTCCCATTTTAATCCTGAGCCTGCAAGACAGTATGTCGATATTATAATTGGGAAAGCTCTGTGATTATGTTTTCAACTAACAAACCTGTGAGCTGAGCAGGACTACCCAGTAAACAGAGCTCTAGGTTTTGATCCCTGTATACAGTATTTATTTTTTCCCCAACTCTTATTAGGAATCACTCATTGTTATTCAACTCATATAGGTGTTGACACTGAAACAAAATATACACAATCAATAGGTCACCAGCTGGGCAAGTACCATATTTGGGTTCTAACTATGATTTTCCAGGCTTAGGATTCATGTCGCTTGTCGGATAATTCCAAGAAAAGTGGCAAAGGAGGCCAAAATATCCATCGTAATTTTAAAAAACATGGCAGTTGTTGCATACAGACATCAAAATGGAAGACTTTGAAAAGAAAATGAAACCCCTTTTGGTTAGATCCAGTTAACAAAGTTACTTTAGAAGCCACCGTATAAGACCAGCCAAATTCCTCCAGGGAAGGTTTGGGACCACCTGTGGAGCAGTGTAATACAAGTGTAATACCTGTGGAAAGGATGTACTGTATGTACATGTACAGTAGGTGTGACAGCAAGTTCTAGTGAAGCTGTTCTAATATACAAGGTGCAGGAAGTGCAGGACCCCAACTCCGCAGCCCCCTGCCACCTTACAAAGGCAGGGCAATGATAGGAACCATTAGAGCAACACTCAGAACAGCACAAGCAGAGCCCGCGGTTCACACCCACATGATGTCCATGCCATCTGGGTGTCTATAATACAGATGTGCCTGTTCATTTTTAATATCCTAATGCTTTTCACCGAAGGTTTATTTGTTACATAAAATCATGTTTTACGTAACACAGATCAAAGTAATGCAGTTCAGAGATTTTGCTGAAATGCTACATCCTCTATATTTCACCTAAAGACATAAAATCCCATTTCTATGTGTTATTTTATGTAGAAAAAGCATTTGGGATGTATAAATATCAGATATGACACTTTTATTAACTATAACAATGGCCAAGATATACATCTGTATAACTGATGCACATAAAACTTTCTTGCCTTTTGCAAGTAGCTGTTTTTAAGAGAACCATGTCTTATTTTAACCGTTTTAATTTATTTAGTCCAAGAAGATGAAAAGGCTTGGTAGTTTCATTGGGAAATAAATTAATTTAAAAAAATAAATAAATTCAAGACAACTCCCCACATGCCAAAGCTGTTTGGATAGAGATATTGATTTTTTTTTATTTTAATTAATAGAGATAAGGCACCATGCTTAATTCTCCCTGCTACCACCATAAACCTAAAGCAACTTACCCATAGGCCAGTTGTCATACACATGTTTGGCAATATCAGCAGCTGAATCATTAGGGGAAAACAAAAACTCTTTTGTTTTTCCGCTCACCAAGATGAGTCGCAAGTTGATCTGGACAAGACAAAGAAAAAATGGTCAGTCATCATTGTAAGTAGGCCAATAAAATAATCATCACCAACTTTACAGTATTTATATAGCACCTGTTAGGACACATCATCTCAAGGTGCTGTACAATGAAACAAAGTGACAAGTGAATATTAATTAAAATAGGAAATTAAACAAAATGAAAACCTCAAATATAGATGTGAGTTTAAAGATTGAATTGGATAATGCAAATTGACTTGGAAGATCTGATATAAGCTTGACCACAGCTTTGCGACAACAGAACAGAAAAAAACATTCTGCAAGTGTTCAAAGTCTCATTTGGAGAACTGAAAAAAGGATGTAAGAAATAATGGCTGTTCTTCACCTTCTGGCTTGAAAACGGTCGATTTCAGTGGAAAGAGGAGACTGGCTGTCCATTTTATTTAAGAACCAAGATATGGCATGCTAGTGTTTAAATGATTAAGTGATGTTCTTGCAACGGTTTCAAATTGCTGCATATGCATGTTCCAAGTTCACTGAACTTGTCAGCTTGCATTTTTATGTAGGGGTGGGTCTTCAAGGTGCTTTTTTACATCATTTGCAGCAGCAGTTCTTTGCTGAAATGTGCTTCTCCAGAACCCTTAAGGACACACTGAAATGCAAACCGATTACCTGAGAGTGAGTACTGAAGACAACTGAATGTAAATTATGAATTACACTAAATGGTTAGCATACTCATGATCAAGGCATCCTCTGTTGTTTGCAAAAGTCACTGTCTTAAAACGTGACCTAATAAAGGTCAAGAATAAGCCCAAGTAAATCAAAAGTAAATAAATATTTTAACATAAAAAATGAATTATACCAATAATCCTAATGTCTACAGGAAAACAGTTCCATTGGCAAGAGGAGTATCTGTAAATAAAAATGTAAAAATGGTCCTGCAGCTCCTGATGTTAGTAATGTTTGAGGTACCACAGGTTCAGCACTGGCTGGTTATGTCAAGGCACAGACAGGGTTGGTGGTGGAGTCAATGTCACTGTGGCCAGCAAGTTAAACTCTGCAAAAGTCTACTGAACAGTAAACCAAATTTATCTGTAGAAATTACACACAGATGCATGTGGATATTTAAATGCATATAGAAACGCACAGAAATGCAAAAAATTCTATTGGATTTCTTACAGTCATGTTATACAGTACTGTCAATACAATGCAGACTGAACATATCAAAAAAGGGTGCAAAAATTCCTCATTATAAAAAGGATTGCCTGGCCCGAATCCGGCCTCTTTAAATTACCAAGTAAAATTATTTGAGGTATTAATGTCAAATTATGTATGTGCCAAATCTTAGAATACATGTGTGATGTACATGCCAAGACCAAGCTGACTTCACACAGATTGCACCATTTATGATATATCATTTCAATCGCACTGGTAAGCATTTGTTTGCCAAACACAGACATGCTGTGTCTTCCTACAGTACATTCCTAAAAAAAATAAAGTCTTTGACATAAGGCTGTGTAGAGGAACACATGCAGGACGCTGATACACTTGAGCCATATGATGTAACAGTGTTAACAACCAGTAGATTGAAAGTGAGATTGTCCTAAGTACCATATCAAACCAGATTACCGTGAATGCCTCTGGCAAGCTGATAGCTCACAGCAAAAACACCGTCTTGACTCTTCACCTAATCTGATTTCAGTCCACCTACTCTGTGACTAATAAGGCAGCAGTCAGCTCCCTACCACTCTGTTTCAATGGGAAAGAGTCTCTTCCAAATTGCTCACAGAAAGCAAATTGTGACAAAAAAAACATTTCTAACTTTTTTGTTTTTATTCCATTTTTACCTCCTACACCCTCTATATGTATGAAGTGCAATGTGACTTTTTTTAGGCACCAGATGTACATGAAAGACCTGAATCATCAGAGGAATGATAGTAAATGATCTTAAATTTGCACTTCAGGCCAGAAAACTGAAGTATTTAGCTTCCTACTCAGATACAATATAGAAGAGGTTGAACAAAGTGTCAAAACTGAAAGGAAAAACAAGATAAAACACATGATGCTGCATTTGTATGGGCCTGCTTATCTATGGGCCATGAATGGAAAACCTAGAACATTTATCTCTAATCATGCTAAAATCCAGAAGGTTCCTACTGTACGTACAATAAGATGGATACAAATCAGTTCATCAAATTAATTTTATTTTTAACATTTAAATAAAAACTTGTAGACAATAGGCAGTCAAATGATTTTTTTTTATTTTCGCATATTCAATGAATGAGCAGCTTTGTAAAACAATGTAATTCTTCTATGGCTGTCTCAAAAGATGGTGAGTGAAACATCAGGAACAGTACTTTGTCTAACAAAATAACATTAGTGTTGGTGTTAATGCTGTCTTGTAATTTTTAATTTGTCACTTACAAAATCACCCCCAGCTGCAGATGAAACATAACAGGGAAGTACTTTACTATGCTGTTTTCCTAATTGCCTCAATATGTAAACATCCTAAATATTTTAATGCAAACTGCATTTCTGCACTGAATATAAATTAGTCACAACAGATTGTTGCAAAATATGCCTCTCATTTCCAAAGCTTTTAAAGCTTTTACAGGTCTGCCAGTTCTTCTAAATAACAAGACACATTTTTTTTAGATGAACTGGCAGACCTGTAAAAGCACAGGCTTCAAAACTTCCTGATACTTAAGTTAAAAGCTAAAAGGTCTTTAAAATATTTTGAAAAAAAAATTAAATTGGATCTTAATGTAAACTTTTTTTTCTGCACCTTGATCAGTTTGGTTCAAGTCAAGGAATAGTACAGTATATACTGCCGTAAAATACTATGGATTTTCTAACTTTCTTAATTGAAAGTTGGTTAATTGGTATTCATCCTGTTCTGCTAAAAATTAAGACACTTGTGGTGTCACAATTCCAAACAATACTCCACAATCTGCATATTTCAGAACAAATACATTAGAAGCAGTGCATATTACAGAAAAGAGAGTGAAATCAACAAACCATGTGCTCAGTGTGTACTTTTTGACACCCCCACCCTCTTTTCTCGATAGCATCTTCCTTTCTAAAGGAACAAGAACAAAGCTTAATAGCAAACTAATGATGTAATCATTTTCCCTTGGAAAAGAAATAAGAGACACTACTGATAAAAATCAATATGTACTGTACAGTATGGTGAACAGTGGTGAACACAATAAGTGAAGTAGATCTGAACTGGCCTCTGCTGAATTTGCACTTGAGTATATTGAACCAGGGACCAGCTCCAATGCACAGAAGCAAAGCCCCAGAGCAATTTAGTTTCATTTGGGTAATACTGTAGGGACAAGGCTTCTCCTTTAATGATCTGAAAATTGGCATCATGTAAAATTAGTCTCCGTTGTCTCTGTTTCCACTTGTATTTTTGTACCAAATGCATCTGGTTTCATATTTCGGATTGCATGCAAAAGTAACTTCATAGGAACTGACTTTGTGACTGTTTCAGGAAATTTAAGAATTTAAGAAATGATTTTATTCCTTAAGGAAAATATGACTGAAAGGTGTTTTAACAGCTTGATTTACTGAGATGCAATCATGTGCTGAACCGTAATATCCACAGATTTATCAGCATTTTGCAGCATTTCAATGCCTTTATCTCAGTTGATGGGGTATATTCTGTATCTCAAACTTTAGAGGTCAGATTGTGCTACAATGAGTGGGCATATAATTGCCATTGATTATTTAAACAAGTAAATAATCCATGAAAACTAGTCCCTATTTGCAGAAGCACTCACCCACTGATGTATTTGATGTGACCTGCAGTAAAAGCTTTGGATATAAGGGTGAAAGGCAAAAGGCTATGGAATGCAAATTGATTTTTGAAAAAGTATCTTTTTTCACAAAACCTAATTGTATCTCTTAAGGGAAGGTGGGGGGTTATAAAACTGTTAACATAAAACACCAATATCCTTTCTTTTGGCCAAAAGGTTTGTTTGGCCCACAGGTTGACCAAAATACCAGTATTAAAATGTGAATCATACTGTAAATGCATTCAACATCATGACCATGTTCGGCAAAGCAGCTGTTAAACACAAAGTCAAGAATAGGTGTTTTAGTGGCATACAGTGTACATCTCTGTCCATTGACAGCTGTTTAAGCAGTCCGCTCTCATGACATTTATTCAATAGAATTACACGAACAGACCATTATGCAACAGCATATTGATGAAAGTGCAATATTAGAAACAACGCTTAAGGCATTGCTTTCTTTAAACCAGTCATGCATCCTCTTTATTAAAAAACAGTTGTTCAGATATGCACTGTAATTGCTTATCTTGCACACCCTGCTCTTGAATTGTGAAATCCTGTTGAAAACATACAAACACTGAATTTACACTGAATTTACAAACCTGCTAGCAACACAAAGCAATTCTGCGGAAATAAAAACAATTTCATACCTGGGTAATTATTGTTATGATTCATGAGAAGTTTTGATTAGAAAAGGCACATTGCGTTTCGTATAATAAGCCGCACTTTTTTTGCACGAGTAGCTAAGTGTGAATAACACTGATGAAAGAATATAATAATACTTTGGCATAAAATATCAATATGCCCACCAATCCTATTATGAAAAACCCAGGTTTTGGCATTTGTAGTGTTGCCAGAGAATTCTTGCTTCTAGAGGATGGAAACCTGAGTTCAAAAGCAGAGTTTCGTTTATAATTCGGGACTGGTGAGTGAGTCGGTTTCGAAATCATTGGGATTCACACTACCAGTCTATAATGGTCATTTAGAAATGGCACAAACGTGTAATAGAACCAAACCCCTTGAGATAAGGTAGTCAGTGGTGATGTAATTTACAGCTTTCTGTGTGTAGTATGGCACTTCCAGTTTAGTTATTGTTTGTTCGCCATCAGCCAAACTGTATGTCCACATCTTCAGATACTTCAACATAAATATACTCAGTGGCTGTTTAAAAGACAGAATAAGACACAAAAGTAATAAACTGAACCTAACATGTACAAGCAGAATAGGGTA